GCGGGCATGTTAAACACATCTCAGGCTTTCATTGAATAAACTTTGGAGATATTGTCGCTCCAACAGCCTGACATTTCTGTGAACAAACGTGCTGATAAGTGGGTCATAAGTAAAAAAATAATCTTGGAAAATACTTCATACATCAAGCTAGAATCTGACAGACACTATTTTGTTTATCTAAAGTTTATGATGATAAAGTTTCACGTGAAGCCGAGATGTTTGAGCAGAAGGCTGATCGGAGGAGTGAGCCGATTGGCTGAATGCACTTCGAGATGTTCAAGTCCAGTGAAAGTACTGATGATGATGATGACGAAGAGCTTCTAACAATCAGACGGGACCGGTTTGGTTTGGCTCGGCTCCGGCTCTCCCTCCGTCCCCCGGTGACCCCTGCCGGCCCGGCGCTGGCCTCCGACGGTCCGACTAACTACCCGACTATTTGTCCGAGGATGTTCTGCAATTACGGGCTCTGGCCCTGCGCAGCGCTAATAACGGCATGTCGCAATTAGCGGGCGCCGAGCGGGGCGGAGGGGTGGGAGGGCATGTGTGTGAGCGGGTGAATTAGTGGCGATGCCCGGCCGGCGTCTGTCACTTTCCATTTGCCCGGGGGGGACAAAGAGGTCCGACCTGTGACCCACTTTTCTCACTCTGGCTGAGGAGGCGGAGAACAAAGACACACACACTGTCCAGGCCGGCCGGGTGTGTGTGTGGCTAACGCCGCCGCTAAAAACTATCCGGTAAAAGTGAAAGAACCAGCACCAGAACAAAACACATCGGAGAGAAGAATACTGTAAAACTGTATCAGCAGTTAAAATAACAGCAGATATCTGTAAAATAATCAGACTTTGAGCAGAGTCCAGTCACTGGTTCCTAATTTACTACTTGGTTTAGGCTCGTTTATGTACTTTTTATTATTTATGTAGCACTTGTATACTTTTCTTTTACATGTTTTATTTAGAATTTNAGGAAGCGATGGCCTTTCATTAAGTGAAGGACACAGTTGTATTTTGACATATGATCGGACTGCCTCGGTGCATGGGGGATCCTGTAATCGTATCTGACTGTACGTAGGATCATAATGTACTTCCTAATAGAGCTGCTGCTGCTGCCAACGTAACCGCTAACACGTTTCTTAAAACATTTAATGCAGTTTGTAATGAAGTTCAGAGAGAACCTGCAGAGCTCGTGTTATTTGTTCTGAAGCTCCGGCTCGTTGCTTCACGCTGCTTTTCTTTAAACACGATAAACTGACGAGCTGCCGTCAGAACCGTCCCAAACAATCGATCCGTAAACGCCCGATCCCCGACAAACAAACGGCGAGGCAGACGAGAGGAGAGATTATCAGGAACAGAACGGAGTGGGGCGGCTCTATTGTTTCTGAAGTCTCTCCGTTATCAGCCGATTGACGGTGAATCACGGCTTCAACAAAAGGCCGCAGGGAGGAGGCAGCTGATTACAAAGCAGGGACACGGCGACGACTCACAAGTGCTGCTTATCTGTCTGAATGCAAACTAAACGGTTAATGAGTAACTGAGCAGCCAGAGGATAAATCAGAGCAGCGGTGAGGAGCTAAGGAGGCGTTTAAATGTGCGATCCTGGAATAATAACAGATAATTAACCCAGAGAACAACTGATGTGTTTCTAATCACACATGTGGAGCTTTGGTCCAGACAGCAACTAAAATATTAAGAATAAAAAAAACCTTCTTACTATTTTTTTTAACAACATTTGTTAAATCAAATTGGGAAAACAGGTCAATAATAATCACAGGAGCCTCCACAAACTCCTGCAGCTCAGATTTCAAGACTGAGCCGACGTGAAGAAAGCAGCTAGCATAGCAACGGCAAGGCTACAAACAAACCAAAACGTGACTTTCTGGAAAGGAGACGTAAATATCTCAAACAACAACAAATATTTTGTTGTTTGGTCGTTTACTTTTAAAAGGACGTTTACGTTCCAGAAACCACAAAGAAACGACATGCAAGAGGATGAAACAGCAAATATTTCTGCTTAAAACAAGGGCGGACAAAAACCACTAAAGCCGACAAAACAAACGTCAGCACAGCCCTGATGGCAGCATCAGACGTCTGACAGGGAGTCAGTCACAGATCAATCACCGATCAATCACCGATCAATCACCGATCAGAACGTTTGCTCCTGCGCTGCTCGACTCCAACTGTGAGGTCAAAGCTCATGAAGATAAAGAAGCAGGGCGACGAACTTCAAATCAAACTTGATCTAAACATTTTAACTCTAAGCAGCCGTCCTGTGGCTCTATTTGCAGGTGGAGGATATCAATAGATGGAAATGTTTAATCCTTTAAAACTACAGCTGGGATTTTAACACGCTAATTTTAATCAATTACAGAAAAAATAACACATATCTAATCACACCTTTCTCAGTTCTTTAATTTCTGGCACTGCGGTAACACTGATGGACACACTCCAGCCAGTAGGTGGCGCTAATGTGACCTCAAGCTAGTTTGCTAGCCGCGAAGAAGATGCTCAGGACAGTGACGTCAGAAAAAGTTTGGACAGGGATGAAGACGAGACCTCGTTGCTCTTCTAGTATTTTTTCTCATCCAGGCCTGATGCTACGTGTCCACAGCAGCGAGTTCGCCAAAATTTGCATAAAGTAGGAGTCACGTCTACTTTATGCAAATGAGCTGGCGGGCGACGCTACGCCTCAAAACTCACAATGAATGGGAAGCGAGAACTGTACGGATCCTGTGGACGCGCACTGACAGCAGGTTGTGTGCAAACGGTGCAACAATAAAGTCCTAAAGTGTTGAATATAATCACTATGACTGCACTTTAAGTTTGCAATAATGTGTGAATGTAGCAGCCAGGTGAACATGCAGGTAAATACAGGTGAACAATAAACTTCTTTGTTGTTTAAGTTCACGTGTACGTCTGCTCGTTGATTCAGTCGCCAACCAACGTTTATCTGAATTGAAAATTTTGCTTATGGTGTCAAATAGTGCAATTAATTAATTACAAAGCCTCTAATTAATAAGATAATTGTTTTAATCGCAACCTGACGACAGAACTGCGACTTAAAGTGATTAAAAGAGCAACTCACCGTCGGTTCTGAGGATCAGCAGGACAGCGGTGGCCATCACAGCCAGGCAGAACGGTAGACCTGCCATCCTGACACCGGACCGGACCGGACCTGGGCCCAGACTGAGCTGTGCTCTCCAAACAGGAGCTTCTGGTCAGCGGGTCAGCGTGTCGGACCGACTCTTTAATCCACAGCAGGACTCTGGGAGCTGGGAGGCTGGTCGGCTGGAGGGAGGAGGCGGGATGGGTGGAGGTTGTCGGAGGGCGATATCACAATATCAGGTGTTCTGGTGTCTCACTGGCTCTCTGGGTCCAAAACCCTGGAGGAGGAAAAGGAACGTTTAATGTTGTTTGAATTTATTGAATCTAAACGTCAGAGCCAAACCGTCAGTAGGTTCAGCTACTTCAACTGGAGACTCACAGACTAGAGTTTAAAGGTGTAAACTGGGGT